TGATTCCACAGACCATAAAGTCTTTCCTTAGAAACTGACCCAACCTTATATGGTGCTACTGGTTTTGAGTAAATGGGCTAAATCTTGCAGCCAAGCCTCAGTGCAAACAAAAACATTCTCTTGTCAAGCATTTTCTGGTTTGTTCAACTCCATTACAGAGCTGCCTTTAAAAAAAAGTTAAAACCCACAAAGAGCAAAACACAAGCCCTAGGAAGACAGTTTGCAGCCACATCAGCTCAGATCACCAGGATAGAAAAAAAGCAGGGCCCTCATTGTCCAGAGCATCATTTTCTCCAGACTTTCATCTTATGTTCTTCTGCTATTTTAATTTCACCACTTCAAAATGGGGGGAAATAGGTTAATAGTTTCCATGAGTTTAGACTGTGACCAGAGGCATACTAAGCAATTTCAGAACCTCCAGCAACCACAGCTTTGAGGAGAGGATGGTGATGAATTTACCAATTCATTTGGGGATGGATTTCAGAGTCAGGAGAATCAGACCAGTCCAATAACGCCTAAGTAGGATATAAACAATTTTCCTTCATTCATTCATTTTGTATACGTTCATCCTCGGTTTAGTTTTATTCCAGGTAGTATACTGGGTATAGTATGAGACCGCAAAATACCTTCTTAAGACATGGTCTCTGAGGCCTGCATTACCCTGATACCAAAACCAGATTAAGACACCACCAAAAAAAAAAAAAAAAAAAAAGGAACTACAGACCAATATCACTGATGAACACAGATGCAAAAGTCTTCCACAAAACATTAGCAAACCGAATCCAACAATATATGAAAAAAAATCATTCACTATGATCAAGTGGGATTTAGTCCTGGTTTTCAAGCATGGTTCAGTATTCACAAATCAATCAATGTGATACATCACATCAACAAGAGAAAGGTTAAAAACTATATGGTCATTTTAATAGATGCAGAAAAAGCATTTGGTAAAGTACAACATTCATGATAAAAACCTGACAAAATAGACTTGGAGGGAATATACCTCAACGTAATAAAGGCCATAGATGAAAAACCCATAGCTAACATCATACTCAATGGTAAAAAAACTGAGTTTTCTCCTAAGATCAGGAACAAGACTACAATGTCTACTCTCGCCACTTTTATTCAACATAGTACTAGAAGTTCTAGCCACAGCACTCAGACAAGAGAAAGAAAAAGCCTCCAAATTGGTAAGGAAGAAGTAAAACTTTGATTACTTGCAGATGACATGGTACTACATATGGAAAGCCCTGAAGACTCCACCAAAAAAACTGCTGGAATTGAAAAAATAAATTCCGTAAGGTCACAGAATACAAAATCAATATGCAGAAATCCATTGTATTTCTATATAATAATAATGAAGCAACAGAAAGAGAAATTAAGAAAGCAATCCCATTTACAATTACACCAAAAATAATGAAATTATTTTTCATATTTACTAGGTATTGTAACAAACTTAACCAAGGAGATAAAAAACCTGTACTCTGAAAACTATACATCATTGATGAAAGAAACTTAAGATAACACAAATGGAAAGATATTCCATGCTCATGGATTGAAAAAACAAATATTGTTAAAATGTCCATAGTACGCAAAGTGATCTACAGATTTAATGCAATCCCTATCAAAATACCAACAGCATTTTCCACAGAACTAGAATAAAAAATCCTAAAATTTGTGTGGAACCACAAAAGACCCCAAACAGCCACAACAATCTTGAAAAAGAAAAAACAAAATTGAAGGTATCACAGTTCCAGATTTCAAGTTATACTACAAAGCTGTAGTAATCAAAACAGTATGGTACTGGCACAAAAATAGACACACAGATCAGTGAAACAGGATAGAAAGCCCAGAAACAAAGCCATAATTACATGGTCAATTAATCTTTGATAAAAAGGCAAGAATGTGCAATGGGAAAAAGTCTCTTCAAATAAATGGTAATGGGAAAACTGCTACATGCAAACGAATGAAACTAGACCACTTTCTTACACCATACACAAAATGGATTAATGACCTAAATGTGAGATCTGAAACCGTAAAAATCCTAGAAGAGAGCACAGGCAGTAATTTCTCTGATATTGGCCATAGCAACATTTTTTCTAGATGTGTCTCCTGAGGCAAGGAAATAAAAGCAAAAATAAACTACTGGGACTATATCAAAATAAAAAGCTTCTGCACAGTGAAGGAAACAACAAAACTAAAAGACAACCAACTAAACATGAGACGATATTTGCAAGTGACATATCCAATAAAGGGTTAGTATCCAAAATATATAATGTATACAACTCAGCACACACACACACACACACACACACACACACACACACACACAATCCAATTAATAAATGGGCAGAAGGCAAGAACAGACATTTCTTCAAAGACATCCAGATGACTGACAGAAAAGATGCTCAATATCACTTACCGTCAGGACAATGCAAATCTAAACTATTATCAGAATGGCTAAAAATCAAAAACACAAGAAACAACAAGCGTTGGCAAAGATTTGGAGAATAAGGGATGCTTGTGTATTATTGGTTGGAATGCAAACTGGTGCAGCCACTATGGAAAATAGTAGGGAGGTTCCTCAAAAAGTTAAAAATAGAACTATCCTGAGATCCAGTACCGCACTACTGAGTTTCTATTCAAAAAATACAAAAACACCAGTTTGAAAGGATACATGATTCCATCTGTTTATTGCAGCATTATTTACAGCGGCCAAATTATGGAAGCACCCCAAATGTCCATCAATAGATGAATGGATGAAGACGATGTGGTGTGTATATACACAATGGAATATTACTCAGCCACTAAAAAGAATGAAATCTTGCCATTTGTAACAACATGGATGAAGCTAGAATGTATAATGCTAAGCAAAAGAAGACAGTCAAAGAATAACAAATACCATATGATGTCACTCATATGTGGAATTTAAGAATCAAAGCAAATGAGCCAAGGGGAAAAAGAGAGTGAGAAACCAAGAAACAGACTCTTAACTACAGAGAACGGACTGATGGCTACCAGAGGGGAGGTGGGTGGGAGGATGGGTGAAATAGGTGAAGGGGATTAAGAGCACACTTATCATGATGAGCACTGGGTGATGTATAGAATCATTGTGATTTTTGAATCATTGTGATATATAGAATCATTGAATCACTATACTGTACACCTGAAACTAATATAACACTATGTTAACTGCACTGGAATTAAAATTTAAAACTTTAAAAAAAAGACATGACCTTTTCGCTAAAGAAATTAGTTTGCACAAATGTGCAAATAACTTTTTTAGGACTTTGTTTATTTGTCAGAGAGAGAGCAAGCACAAGCAGGGGGAGCGGCAGGCAGAGGGAGAAGCAAGGGGCCCGATGCAGGATCCCAGCACCCTGGGATCATGACGTAAGCCAAAGGCAGATGCTTAAGTGACTGAGCCACCCAGGCATCCCACAAATAATTTCAATACAGTGGACACTGTAAGTGCTATAAGCAATGTTAATTAAGTACTTGGGAGGGGTAGAGAAAGAAGGAGTTGACTCCAACTGAAGGCATGCAGCAAGGCTTCACTGGAGAGTTGCCTTCCGACCTGTACCTTGAAAGGTCAAAATTCATACTAGGCATTAGCCAGTGTACAGAAGTATGGAAGTCTCTTATAGGTTTGAATAAGAGTGAACAGTCTGAGGCATTAGGGAAATCTGACCCTAGAAAAGGAGGTTGAATGTCAAGTGAGGAATTAGGTCTTTTCACATTGTAGAGCCATAGAAGTTTTTGCTAGCAGCGAAGTTCCTTGGTCACATCTGTGTTTTGGAAAGGAAACCAGAAGTCACTTTGGGGATAGGGAAGTGTTACAGGAGGAGAGATGCAGACAAGGAAGCCAATCAGACTGCTGCTGTGGTTGAGACATCAGCACACTAGTTATCCACCTATAGGCATTTCTTACGTCATGGCCATTTAAAGGTTCTCATGGTAAGAGGGCAATTCCAGTTCTGCATCTTTCTAATCAGATCCCCATCCCAGGTTTATTCTAGATTGTAAACTCTGCATCAGTCCAGACATTTCATTTGGAATATAGCATGTTACACGTGAAACATAGTTGTTTGGTAAGACAGCATGGGATTCTAGGGAAGGATGGAAAGTTAATAGCTAATTTTATCAGTCTATCTGCGTCCTGACTCAATGTATGGTATCCTTTTGCAGGAGGGTTTTTGTTTTTCATTTTTAAAGTTCAACATATTTTTAAAGCCAGAAAAACTGACTTCCGTAATTCACTTCTCAAAACTAGAACCCCTCTAGATTCAACATTTCTACCAAGAGTTCACAACACTAAACTTGGAGGTGGTATTCGAATCAAGGCTTAAAAGAATCAAAAGCCTCATTGATTGTGCTGAGCTCTGGTTGGGCTCTACACCCGGCACGTTCTGCGTGTCTCCATCATCAGGCAGACCACTCTAAAATCTTAAGGTCCTTGGTGACCCTACCAGGTTTTTGATGACTAATCAAGTTTTAGAATAGTGAAGTGTTCTTCCAGTGGAGAACCTGGGGTGTGTAGTTCAGCGGTCAAAAAACTACAGCTGTGAGCTAAATCCAGCCTGCTTTTGTAAATTAAGTTTTATTGGAATACAGTCATGCCCATCTACTTAGTACTGTTTACAACTGCTTTCACCCTATGACAGCAGAACTGAACTGCTGCAACAGGACCAGAAATGTCTTCTCTATGTGCCTTAACAGAAATGTTTGCCATCAACCCTGCAATAATGGTAGAAAAGGGAGAGAAGTCAGAAGACATGTGTTCTAAATCTTAGATTTGCCACCACCTACCTGGGTAGATTTAGAAAAGACACATGATCTATTTCATGTGTTTCCTTGATACGCACTCTACCTTCTTCCAAGTACTGTGATAGGCACACGAGCCAATGTGTCTGTAAGGTGCTGGTCGTGCTGTAAGGGACTAAATACATGGAGCTCTGCAAGTCCCAAACTAACACTGGCATGTTTCTTTCCCTCCCCAGAATACCCTGGAGCAGTGCAGTGTGTGCTCCAAGCCCATCATGGAGCGGATTCTGCGAGCCACCGGGAAGGCCTATCATCCTCACTGCTTTACCTGTGTGATGTGCCACCGCAGCCTTGATGGGATCCCATTCACCGTGGACGCTGGTGGTCTCATTCACTGCATTGAGGACTTCCACAAGTAGGCAGTCTACACTATTCCCTCGAGCCTGCCAGTCCTCCTGGAGTCTGTTCTCACTGCCTGCTATCTGGGCCACGCATTCTTCTAAGAGCTGTAGAATCTCAGGATTTGGTGGGACCTTAAGAAGCTTGTTTATCCCCTCCTCTAATGCAGGAATGGGTATCAGTTAATCCAGCTGGTCCTTCAGTCTGGCTTCTGCTTGATCAGTCACATCTTTGTGTGGCTCTGATACTGAGAAAGTTGACTCAGCTGCAGAATATGTGTATTGGAAAGAAGAAGAATCCGGGAGTAGCCTTCCCTGACCTAGACATGAACAAGATATGTTACAGTGGACAAATTGCTCAATGGCTCTGAGCTTTTCAGTCTGGTCATTAGAACAGAGCCTGTCTTAAAGCTCCACAGGTGTGACGGCCCAAGGTTCTCTCTAGAGCTGACCTCTACATCTTTGCCCATCTTCAGAGAGGAGGTCACAGGGAGATGGAGATGGACACAGAAAAATCCACTCCCTCTTCCTAATACAAGCCTCTCGCATTCCAGGTCTGCTTCATGTCATTAGCAACATATTCACATCCTCCCATAACCTGTTTCCCTACCCAAGGCTTCTTTTCCTCAGGACACTTTCTAATAACCTTAATGAATGCAGTCTTGTGCAGTCTTTTGAGGAAGATTAGAAAGTAGAGTCTCAAGGTCAAGACCACTTACTCATGGGCCTGGGAAAAAATGTGTCCTCATTCAGTTTTCTCATTCATCGGGCCCTCTTTCCCCTGTTATAGCTACTGTTTTCATGAAAATTGTACAGTTTTGTCTTTTGCTTCTTTTTATTTGGCCCCTTTCTTAGTTGGTGAATTGGTTGATGACATTTGTTGCGTATATTTGGGAACCATACGAAAGCTGTAGCGATGATCTGTAAGTAGTAGGCACAGAGGCTTTCTGGCTTGCTTGCTGGGCAGTCTGGGTCTTTGAGGACAGTCCAAAGTTCTCACAGAGATAAAGCTCATGTGGCTCCCCAGTTTGGGTCTCCATTTTATGACCTCTAGATGTGCAGTTTTCTGGGTTAATTTTCACCACTCTGTTGATTGTCAGCAATCAGGAGGAACTTGCCACAGGCAGTTTGGGGACCTGAGACTCCACTATTTTAAAAGTGAATTTCCTGACCACTTTCCAAGTAGCAAAGAAAGTGAAAACCTCACCAAAAGACGTGAGGCTGAATGAATTAAAAAACAAAAACAAAAAACAGAGGCAGGAATTCTCAACCTGAATTAGACAAGTAAGGGCTCACTTTGAAAGGGCAGTCACAGCATAAATTGTACATGTTATTGATATTTTTAGCTTGTAATTACACATGAAAAAAAAAACCTGCATCTATTTAAGGGAAGTGAAAAGATACCGATGGGGAGTGTGTTTCTGTCACGGTTTCTCTCCTTTCTTCGACGTACCCTAATCCAAGGAGGACTGGTAGATGTAATCCAAGCATACATGTTTCTGTTGCTTGGAAAAGACTGATCTATTACACCCCCCAATTAAAACAGGAAATCAATTCTGACAAATGGAAGTTTATATCTCTGCCATTTATCTTTCATTTCTAAGAGTGAGGAGCATAATTAGAGACTTGGGACCGGTGACATAAGTGTGTGGGTCTCAACACTCCAGACAAGCAGTCTTAGCAGCTAAAAGGGAAGAGCCATCTCCAAGCCCAGCTCCACCTCCCTGCCCCACCACCACCACCAATTCAATGACATGTTAAAGCACAAATTATTTTTTTTTTTAAATAATGTCATTAGCAACATATTCACATCCTCCCATAACCTGTTTCCCTACCCAAGGCTTCTTTTCCTCAGGACACTTTCTAATAACCTTAATGAATGCAGTCTTGTGCAGTCTTTTGAGGAAGATTAGAAAGTAGAGATACATTTTACAGAACTCTGTTTCTGAGCTTTGAAAGTACTGGAACACAAAACAGCTAAAAGCCCCACCCAGGGTAGGCACTGCCAGGCTAACGAGAGGGTACATGGGGGGATACAGCCTCCTTCTGCAGACTATTTTGGGGGGCCTTGTTCTTGGTCTCCCTCAATGAGCTTTTAGGAAACACCTTTCAATTCAATTCCACCACGTCTACAGAGAGCCCTCTGTGTGCTCAGTGCTAAAGGAGAGAGATACAAGGAGAGAAACTGCAGGGGTAGAAAATGCACAGACACAGAGAGAAAAGCCCGTCAGCGAGGAGCTTGCCAGGAGGAGGGGGAGAATCAGCACAGAGTATGTGTGGTATCAGGCAGAAGGGGCCAGACACGATGAGACAGGCAGAGGCCAAGGCTTGAGGTGTCAAGTCAGAGGAGATTACTTGGCCCTGAGATCTGGGGAGGCTTCTGGAAGCAGAATTTGAAGAGTATTTTAAGTGAGAAATGGAGATTCCTGACAGCAGGAACAACTCAGGAAATCAAGAAGGGCATGAAGTGAGGAAGGGCTTCTCTACATTCATGGAAGATTTGCTCGGCTGTAACTAGAGCAGCCTGGGAATGGAAGTTACTGTGAGATACAGAAGGCCCATGACAAGGGATTCATCTCGCCTGCTTAGCATCCTGTCTTCTAAACCAGTGCTTCCCAAATGTTAATGTGCTTACAAGTCACCTAGGGATCTTGTTAAGCTGCAAATTCCTAATTCAGTAGGTCTGAGGTGGGACCTACAATTCTGCATTTCTGACAAGCTCCCCAGTGGTTTTGGACTGCACTTTGAGTAATAAGTTTCCCAAATACTATTCTTAAGGCCTTGTAAATGGGCCATCCCCTGCATAACCACCTTCAGTCAAGGTTGGCCCAAGTCCTCCATCCTATTAGGTACCAACTCTTTTCCCATGTTATTTCAGATGACTGCTCAAACTAGTTCCCTGGCAAACTGACTGTATCCACCCTCATCAAAACACACACACACACACTTTCGCCTTTCACCTAAATAACCATCTTTCAAGCCCCAACTCATTTACCACCTCCTCTGAGAACACTTCCCTGACCTCAACCCCTCCCTCTCCCCTGTTTGAATTTATATCTCTTTCTCTATGTTCTGTAGGGTTTTGTAAATCAGGTATAGCTAGTACTTAACCATAGCCTGATTAGTAATAAAGAATATACATACACACACAGAGTTTTACCCTTACCACCTTCAACCATTTTTGCAACATGACAGGATCTATGTATCTCAGCTAATAGACCAAATGCAGAAATATATAGAACTCCCTCACAATTCTGACTGCTGGAGTCCTAGTTTATTTCTGTTTTCCCAGTGCCAGGACAGTGAGCTCAGAAAAGCCAGCTTATTTAACTGACCCTTTCATTGCATTGAGCCTTTATTTCACTATCTGTGCTTTCTTATTGGAGATATTATGCTCGTCCACTTATTTGTCTAATCAGCACCCATTTGCTGATTGCCAGAAATGTGCCAGGACAAAGATGATGAAGACCGGCCCTCTCTGAGCCTTGGTTCCTGTGGCTGTGAACAGAAATGATAAAAACTATTTCTTCATAATGTTGCTGTCAGTGAAAAATGAGGTCAAGTGCACAGTGCTTAACAAGGCTTGGCACGTAATAAGCACACAATATATGGTAGCCGTTTGAACCATCAAAAGTGTTTTTTTCTCAAATTTATTTTATTATTATTATTATTATTATTATTGTCTGCTTAGTGAGCTGAGCCTTGAAACTGACCACCTGGGATTTAGAACAGTCTTCAAAATGCCGGCCAAGGAACACTGTAGGGACTGTGGAAACCACTTCCTGTCTCTTCACTTTGTTTTTTCCCATATCATGGAAATGAGGCCAATTGGTAGGAAGGAATCATTACTCAGCAAGAATACAATTTACGCCTTTCCAAAGAGGAAGGACCTTGAGATTGAACGGAAAGGTCCAAGTAACATCTTTTTATTAGAGCAATATGGCAAACACTTCATTTCGTTAGATATAGCCTAAAATTCTGCTGTCTGCCCCAGTCACAGTTGTTTCTGGAGGTTCGGAGATTGAGCAAAACCTGCCAGCTGGAAGCTCAGTTTAGTGGTCCCCAAAGATGTGCAAATAATTACTACTAAAATAGGCAAATTCAGTGAAAGATATTTTATCCTAAAGAAGTAAGTAATTGTAGTTGAGGAAAGAAGGGCAAGCTCACAGTTCAATGACGGGCAAGACATACTTCTGACCTCACTGAGTTTATGGTCTCGATGGGCTGGGGGAAAGGAAATTTTGCACTGGATTCCAGAAGCCTGCTTATTTCACTGCTGATGACCCAGATTCAAAAATAATCAGGTAGTCCAAAGCAGTTTTTTTTTTTTTTTTTACCACTGAGTGTAAACTTCTCGCATAAAATGCCAATTATAACAACTCTGATTACTGCTGCAGTTGTACCATGATCCTTTTAATTTTTCTTTCATAGCAATCAATTGATCTGCTGCTTAATTCATATTTATTTAGATTGCAGCCACACAGATGCCTTTTGGGTGCTGCCAAGAAAATTAATATGTACATATCGAGTATAATGTATGTAAAAATGCTTTGACAACCATAAAGTGCTCTGCAAAGTATTAGATTACTATCATTATTTCTTTTTCAGTCTCACTACAAATAGATAAATTTTAATGTCATTAATCTCAAAACCATTACCATGAAAAAAACCAACTCACACAGTCTGTTTGTCCTTTTTTTTTTTTTTTATTTTTCCATCTCTTCAGTTTTTATCCATGGCCGTTTCAAATCATGTCTCATTTCACACCTTCCCAAATGCCACCCCTAATTTCCAGGAGATGCAGATGAATGCACAGCCTGTATTTGCAGCCTCTTAATCTGTTATGAGAAACAAATTTTAGAGCCATCGGTCATATTAAGGAATAGTAAGAGATCAGGAAATATTAAAATTCCTCCCCAACAGTTAACTTCAAAAGCACACGTACGTATATGCCTACCTACACGCATAAGTGTCCACACCTTTTGGACGTGCTAAGACACTCTAGCTTTTGAACTTTTGTTCTTTTCAAACCAGAGTTTAACACAGCTGAAACTTAGGAAGTGCAGACTTGGTCGTAGTGAGTTTGGTGTAAAGTTTGGTGTATTTAAACTCAGTAACCTCTACTGTTTTGACAAGATATGTGGCTGAGGTTTCTTGTGTTAATTCCTAGAGCTCAGTTTCAGAGAAAGAGGCTCTAATAAGTGGGAGTGACACAGTTACCAACCTCAGAATATTTGTGGGGGGCCCAGGGAGCACATACAAAAGTCTAGGAGCAAAAGTCAAGCAAGACAAAGTCAAGCGGAGGAAACAAGTAAGGGCCCCCAGGACCCTGCCCTACCCCAGGGTCTATGTTTGCAGTCTCTCCACCAGCGAACTTCATGCCACATGTGGCCAATAGCTCCTAGATGCTCTTTATGCATAAGCAATACACACACTAACTCCCCACCTCACCAAAGATCACAACGTTCATGGTCTAGAAGGACCCCAACAGTCACCAAGTCTAATTATTTTACAGCTGAGAAAGCAGACCCAGAGAAGGAAAGTGGCTTGCTCAAGGTCACACAAGATGCTGGAGCAAACGTCCTGACCCTGGGCTGACTCCTTTTCTTTTCACTTCTGGGTCTCTCCCATTTTGTCAGTGTCCATCCTCAGCATCTAACCAGACCTATGTATCCATTTGCAGGAAATTTGCCCCTCGATGTTCTGTGTGCAAGGAGCCTATCATGCCGGCCCCAGGCCAGGAGGAGACTGTCCGGATTGTGGCTCTGGATCGTGATTTCCATGTTCATTGCTACCGCTGTGAGGTCTGTGGTCAGCGCCCCCACCCCCTGTCAGTGCATGACAGGCACTGAAAGGCCTAACAGAGCCAGGTTTTCTCAAACACAGCAATTAATCAATCTGGGAATGCCCCCTGGTGCCTGTGTTCACAGAACTTGGGTTTTAGATCTTAGGCCTTCATTTAATGCTAGTGACACTGGAGAAGTCACTTTACCACTCAGTCTCAATTCCCCCACCTGTGAAAAGGACTCAGATTCTTATGAACCTCCCCAAATTTGGCTGAGGGACCAAAATGCAAAACTGTATATTAAAGGACATTGTAAATCACGAAGTGCTACATTAGGGACAAATGGTATTCTTGTTACTATTCTTATTATCGTTACACTGAGTCTTACACCTCTCAGAGGGGTGGGAACTTGATGCTCCAAGTCATGGAGATTGGTTGAGTTAACAGCACCGACTGAGCACATAAGATGGGCGGTCAGGCGGCTGCTAAGGGCTCCAGGGAGGTATGCACAGGCGCTCTGTGAACACACACAAGTGGCCTCTAATCCAGGCTGGAAGTGACAAGGAAGGCTTCTTGCCCAAGGGACATGTAGTCATTTCTACAGCAAAAGGCAGAAGTCCTTCCCATAATCCGTATCAAAAGGGCACTACGTTCAAAAAGTGATTTTAAAATGTTTTCTTATTCTGCTTCTAGTTACCCAGAGAACCCCCTTTGAAGCCATTTTCTTGTTTTCTACTAGCTCTCCCGAGGACAGGACTTATCAGCTCCCTCTTCTCTCTGGGAAGAAGAGTATAAACTGCCTTACCACCACACCCTCACACATTGGTTCATCTAGGCCCCCTGGGTGATCTTCCCAGGGCACCGGGGACGGGGCCGCCCCTGGCTCTCTGGGACTCCCTTCATTCCACGCATTGCTCTAGCTGAAACCCACCACCTGGTTGATGTGGGGTCCTTTGTTTTCCCCTAGAGCCCAAGTGGCCTCTCTCTCTGGGTCCTTAACATGAGAAAAGATAATAAACTACCAGCTTTTACACCAGATTTTATGACTACAGAGGAACAACCACCTCCAGCCTTAAAACTGACCTGAATCATAAGTGTGAAAGAGCTAATAGATGCCTTCGAGGTCATTTTACAGATGGAGAAACTGAGGCTTAAAGAAGAAAAGCTTCCCAACATTGCTCACACACTTGCTATGCATACCGATAGGCTTTGACTTTTAATGGTTTTGTGTTTTGTGCCCAGAGTTGCATGAAAGGTGCCTTTTCTCCTTCCAGATGAAATGAGAGCAGTACAAATTAGGTTTGCTTTAAAGTCCTGTGAAGTTTTTTTGTTTACGAAACCATGCTATAGCATGGGAGGAGCACTGAATTAGAAGGGGACAGACCGTCATTCTAGTCGTACCTCAGACACTGCAGGACACTGGAGAAATCACTTCCCCCTCTGCTCCTCACCTCCCCATCTCTATAAACCAGGCCCTCCTGTGCTGGACGCCCCGGGTGGCCCCTTTGGGTTCTTAGAGTCAAGGCGTTGATGGTGCCAACACTGGTTGACTCCAGGCTCTTCATGGTGCCCAGGTGACCGTAGAGCTCAGCTCATTCAATGCTTACGGCCATGGCATTTTTGAAATTTCCCTCTTTCTTTACCACAATGAGAAGAGTTCATTTAATGCCATCATGCAGTGTCTGGAATGCCTCTAGAGTGGCAGAATATCTGCTTGCTCGTTTTGGCAAACAAAGCCAGCTCCGGGGAGTCTGGGTTCCTGCTGCTGTTGGTGGGTGTGGTGTTGTAGGCCCTAACCTTTCTGGCCGTGCCCTTCACTGTTAGTCAAATGCAGGCATGAGCCCCAGCGACCTCCTTACTGTCTTAGTCGACAGCAGAAGCAGGGCATGCGGCGGTGGTGGGCTTTTAGACGAGTTTCTGCTGAAGTGAGCAAGGGCCACACACCGCCAGATGAAGTCCTGTATTTTTCTTTTCCAAAGAAACTTCCATTTCCTCCAAAGGTAAGGGCCAGTATTTGGCGGTTACATGACACTTTCCAAAAATGGAGCTGCGGAGGTGCTTTTGACAGTAGTACGTTCCTTTGATCCTTTCCAGCTCTGTAGCTGCCTGCATTTGTTTCAAAGTACATTCACATCCAGTTTCCTCTTTGATCCTCCCAACAGCTTGGTGAGGTAGGACATGCAGGAACTCTTTTCAGTGACACAGGGGCAGAGCTAAGGGGTGCCCTGGGAGGGGCCGTCTCCCCATCCAACACATTCCTCTGCACCACACTGTCTCCTCCAGAACACAAACCAGTACTCCCAACACACTTTAGGGTTTTGTTTTCCCACTACACTTGGAGCCAGGTTGCAGAGCCTAGGGCTGGCCCTTCTGCTTGGAAGGAGGCACTCTACAGCCCTGCTTCTGCCCCGAAACGGCCAAGGAATTCTGTCCCTGCGCCTGTGTTTTCCTTTTGAGAGATCCTTAGACTCGTAATAAAGGGTAAAGATGACTGAGCGGTTAGGGATCTCCTCTTGTTTTGTTGTCTCTTGTTCTTGCTGTTTTTGTTGCTTGGGTGAGAGAACAAAACTACTACTTGGGGCCCCAGAGCCTTGGGTTCTTCTCCTATGAAGTAACCTGAGGGGGATCATTTTACCCTGTAGTAAGGGGCCACGTTATGGAGGCCTCAAACAGAAAGCTAAGGAATGCAGTCCTCACATCCGTAGTTTCCAGTTTCACTGACATCCTTTCTGTTTCTCCAGGATTGTGGTGGTCTCCTGTCTGAAGGAGATAACCAAGGCTGCTACCCTCTGGACGGACACATCCTCTGCAAGACCTGCAACTCTGCCCGCATCAGGGTGCTCACCGCCAAGGCCAGCACCGACCTTTAAATTCAGTCGCCTGCTTAGCTGGTTAGTGGGTGGTGCTGAGAAGAGGAAACACAAGAAAAAGATAAGAAAAGAAATGGGAAAATGCAGGAAAGGCAGTCAAGCCGTGGGATGGTCTCTGTTCTTCATCTAATATTAACCTTTCTTTAGAAGCACATAGATGATGAGATTTTTTTTTTTTTTTAAGTTTTCACCAAATACACATTTCACATTTAATCATGTAGGACCTTGATGGGCCTTTGTTCCCAAGGACTTCCACATTTTTGCACGGATTATACTCCATCCCATTCACTTCTGCATTCCTGTAACTTTTAATCCCTATGTTTGTCTCACTTTTCATCTGGTTGAATGGCTTTTTTTAGTGTGGTATTTGCTGTCACACAGTTTTTCCTGGGTGAGTCGGCCAACTCACAGGTGCTTTTAGGCTTGAAGGGTCTATTCTATCAGTTCCACGTGGCCTGTGATCAGAAAGGATAGCCATTCTTTTTCTGTGTATTGAAAAGTACATCTTTCTGTTGCTCTAAACCGGTCATGCCCCTTGGGGGTAAAAAAAAAGTGTACCATGTATACGTTAGGCTACAAAGAATTTAAGCTATAAATTACATAGGTTAAAACAAGCCCAAATTTAATTTGCAACCAAATTTGATTGGAAATTCAAAATCTCTAGTGACCAGTGGTCAGGGCTCATTTGAAAATAGTAATTGGTGAGAGAGATCCAAAGTTTGCTTTTTTTTTTCCTGAAGGAATTACAGGTGGGATATGCTGGGAAAAAAGCATTTTGGGGGTATTTTGAAAAGCCTATTATTATCCCACAATATCATCTTAAGATTTCCCTTTTCCATGCCACCTAGACATCATAATTCAGACAAACTTTGTTTTCTCTGGAACATAGCATTTCCAATACTGTCCCACTTTTCATCTCAGAAATATTGCCCTGGTTGTATTTTGTTTTGTTTTGTTTTGTTTTTTTTAATAATATCCAAACACAACTACCAAAGTTGAGTTTTCTCCAGAGCAGACAGTTGTAAAGAACTATTCCTAGTCTTCCTTTTTTTTTTTTTTTTTTTTTGCCCCCCAGGCCCGAGTCCTTTTTGCCTGACAACTGCAAATCAGAGCACAGAAAATAAAACTGTAGAGTTTTGTTTAATTTACTTTAAAAAGACAGGAAAGCTTGAAAAAATTGTGAAACCACAGTTTCATCACTCCCATAATCCCTCCGCAACTCAAATTGCATATCACGGGAGATGTTTTCTTATCATCGATGTGACATTTATACCACACTTTCAAAGACAATCGCTGAAAAAAAAATTGCCTTTCTGAGCTAAAAATATGGAGAGTCTCTGCCTGGAATCTTTATTCAAACTCTTACTGGGCATTGAAATGCTTGCTTGCCAACTATAGAACCATTCTATTGGGTTCTAACTTGTTTCTTTTAAAGAGACGCCCCTCTTCGTCACGGCAGGTTGCCATTTTGTAAACTAATCAAGTATTTTGGATTGAGATTTCTTAAACATTTCTTCAAATCTTCCACAAGTATATACTTTTAAATTATGAAGTATTTTAAGTATACACAAAATATAAATAATAATATAATGAATCCCTGTATACATAACACCCAGTTTAAGAAATCAAATATAACAAATATAGTTACATTCCCTTGCATACCCTTCCCTGGGTCCACAAATACCTTTTTCATGATCATAAAGATGTAACGTCGATTTTTAGTCTTTTATTTTAATTTTTAATTTTAGCACTCAGAAATGAAAAATTATTTGTGCGTGTTTTGAATTACGCCCCATGCCTCAGGAATTCCAATTACATTTATTTTACTTTAGTAGGAATGATTGTAAAAATGGTTCAGTTTTCTTTTTTTTATTTCAGTAAGAAATTCTTAAGCCTATGGTCATTAGCTCATCTAAGTTAATTTGTGGCTCTTTTGCCTTGGTCACCCAAAGTGACCGCCGAAGTTGCAACTTTTCAAAGTTTTCTTGGAAAACTTTGTCTTTCCTTACTTTGCTACTCTTACCATTGGTCCTATATTTTTCTTAATGTGAAATACAATGGGATTCATTTTGGGCAGCATGTGAATTTTAGGATACAATAGTGACTGTATCTCTGAATTTCTGTCCTCCACATTCAAGATCAGACATGCTGATGACCTCAAAGAGCACTGACTATTAGACATTTGGAGAGAGAATGTAATTTGCTTGAATGGCTTCAGCAATTTGTTTTCTATGAAGTACTTGGAGGAAATTGTGTTTAGGCCAAAAGCCCAATTTATTGAGAGATGGATTTTATCTCTTGAAGTACAGTCATATTATTATGAATTTTGCCAAAAGAGGAAAATGTATGAAATATTTATACTATAAAAATGCAATAACATTCTACTTGTTTGTTACATTTAAGTCCTTGTGTAACTAAAATGTTTACAAGCCAAAACATTTTAAAGAGAGAGAGAGTTATAAGAAAATGCTGTCACAGACCCATCAGTGTGGCTTTGCCAGAATACTGCTTGCTTTCAATCTTTATAGTACATTTTTATCACATAACCTCAGAGTATCTTTACCAAAGAGTTTTAAAGTAAATCTCTTTTTAATATAGACCTATTATACTTTTATAATAATGAATGTGCACACACACATATGCAGAAATATTTAGATTTAGATTTCTTTTCTTTCACAAGGTATAATAAGGAAAGGATCCTACATATTTTATTCCAGGATTTCTTAAGTATATGATTTATATTGCCTTCTTGTCTTTTCTATTAATCATTTGGTTTAAACAATGCCAAATCACTCTTTACTGTTTTAGTTACATGAAATTTTGCCTATAACAGAGACAGAAAGATCATATAACCTTAACAATTATAATTCTTTTGTCTTTTGGTATATTGCCTTGATATTTAAATTCAAAAATAATAGAAAAATCAGAATTTATAAGAGGAAGTTTGTTAAAAAATTGTCAAGAACACAAATATTTGGTAATTATGTGTTGATGAGAGATGTGGAAAAGGAAAAAAAACCCACTATGTCATGGGCTCTGCACACCATTTCAAAATCCAATTTCTTCACTGTCTGGATCCCAGCTCACACTGACTCAACGTGGAATCTTGTTTGCAAGCAAAATTGCATTTAAAACTCAAAACTAAGTCATGTGTCCCAACATGGGACATCAAGGCTTTGAGATGCTGGACATCTCTGCAGCTCAAAAATGTGGGTTCTTTTTCCTGTCGTTGACATTATTTTTGTAGGGGCAACTTCTCTGATCAAAATTACTTCATTGGCTGTATGCTGACTAACGCAGCCGAGTTATTAACACTATCATTGTTTCCTCACCACGCAAGATTCTGCGAAGGTGCTTATGGTGATGTTTAAAGTATATAAAACTCTAACTACATTTAAACAAGTGTTTTTATTTGGGTTCAGAGGAAGAAAGAGAGCACTTTTACAACGGGACTGTAGTAGAGGGTTTATAGAATATAGACAGGACTCTGAGAACACAACTTCCAACAGTTTTCCTCGTTGGTAAAAATCCTATTAATGTGAACCAGCCAGGAATAACAGTGTTATTTCTATTTGACATAGTTCGGGCTTCTCCTGTCAAATCTGTGTCGGCTGCCCCCTGATCCCTCCATCATCAAGTTTTGAAGGGTGTCAGGGAAATTATGGCAGCTGCTAGGGAGATCAGGAAACACTGATGTGACCTCCCAGCCTCTCACCACTCCTCTTGGCTCAGAAAGGTTTCTTTTTCTCATAGACATTTCTAGAAATATTGCCATGCTACCTTAGTATTTCACATTTGTAGTTTAAACAAGTGATTGTCCATCTGTTGCCTCGAGCTACAGTACATGTGTGTTATGAATGAAATATGACAGCATGTTCCATACTCTGCTTTCGCCATCTGTAGGAAACCAGTAGGCTGAAAAAGATATACCTCTGCAGAATGTGCCTGAAGTCCCTTTCTTGAGATCACTCTCTCGGGGCACTTCCGTGGGAGACAATCGGAGAGCAACATGTATGTGTGCCTTATTTTTAAAGAGTCTCTACGCCACTATGAATACTCCACTGGGGAGTCCATAGTATTAGTAATCACCTCCCAGATTTCCAAAATACACTCATCGAAAAGGAAAACAAAATCCAGAGAAGTGTAAACTCTTTATCTTAATGTGCTCTAATAGTGTTTCTTTTCTCCTTGTCTCTTGGAAGGACCTTGTGAATTCCTGAATTAAAGAAAACACTTTCATGCCAGGAAGTGATGTTTCGGATGTTGTTGGTGATTATGTTTGGTCTTTCTCTGGTTTTAGTCAGATAATGAAGTCAGACTTCCATTTGAGCCTTTACCACCCGTTCAGCATATCCACTTTGAGTAATTGTCATAGCTTTTTGGTTTGTCTGTTGTCTTAATTTAATAGTGGACAGAACAGGTTGAGTTCTGAGTCATTATTATGGTACAACCGTGGGCATTTTAGGTTGTTATTTACATGACAGATACATAGAATGAAACTCTTCTCAAGAGACTGTTGTCTGGACAGCATATTACATATTATTTCAAACCTTTAAAAAATTATCTGATTAAAGCTCCACGGTTTGGTGAGAATTTTTCCTCTTTCCCTCTTCGCCTCTTTTCCTCCCTCCTCTTTTTTCTCTTCCTGCCTTCCTTTCTTACATTCTGTCCTGCTTTTCATCCTACCTAATAATATTATTGTGCTTGGACTTTTCATAAGTAAATTATATCAGTGCATTCTGATCTTTACGGAACTGTGACCATATGAAGGGAAGAAGGCTACCGTCAAATATACATGGCATCCATAAATCCTTCCTTTATAAGGGCATATTTTCCAGATTGTGTTTATTCATAAAGCGAGATGAGATAATAGAGTCTTTCAGTTTTATTTTAATGAGTTTTCATCAGGGATTCAGATCATAGAGTTCTTGGCAAATTCATTTATGACTGCCCTACTTTTCTCAGCTATATGCAAAGTGATCTTTCTAAGACTAGGTTAAGAATTAAAAAAAAAAAAAACATTTTGGCCAAGAAAACAATCATATTTTTAAGTGGTGTGGCATATTATTTTATTCCTAATGAAGCTTGGTAATTTTCCTCATGGCAAGGAAAAACTATTATCCTTCCAGAATTTTTACACATATCAGCATTTTGCCTATGAGCATAATATTAAGTCCTAATAGTTGAATCACAGTATTTTACAGGGGGTAGGTCAGCGCCACAGTTCTTCCTAGAGCACAGTTCACAGGCCTGTGGTATGTTTATAAAAAGCAAAAAAGCAACCTGAGAAGAACAAGTCTGGGTCTCTCAGTAAAGCATTTTGCTAAAATTCGGCTTTGAGATTTTTTTGAACTCTGGCTAATAATTGATAAAAATATGCCCTCTGTGTCCATTTTTTAAAAATCTGTTTGGAAAAAGCTTCTATTTCTAGGGATATATTTTCACCTTTGGTTTCTGCTCTCACTTTGACTTTTTGTAAGTTTTCACAGGATTGACATTGACATTGATTTTCCCTTTTCAGAGGGTCACATGTGAGGAAGGTAAAACATACTTAATACATATTTAATTCAATACATAAGTGAAGTTGCCAAGTCTCAGTGGGTATGTTGTTTTGGGGGGGGGGTTGTCTTTTGTTTGTTTGTTTGTTTGTTTGTTTTTTCAACCTGTCTCCAAGAAGAGTGGGATTCAGGAAAATAAGGAGGGATTTAAGAAACGAGACAGTCTACAATTAAAATGATGGCAGGAGAGTTCTTGTAAAGTGTCACTCCGAGACCTTTCGGAGGGGTTTTAGGCATCAGCAATTGCAGTTGTTTAAGCAAGTAAGCTAGTAAAATATTCATATTTCCAGGTTTATGAGGTATTTAAAAATCACTATGGATATAGTGACTATATTTTTCCCTTGTCAGAAGAAAGTGAAGTGAGAGTAGCTGCTAGGCCCCATGACAGGGTTCGTAGCTACTCCAGGAATTTATAGCGCATGTCCTTTCACCCCCTCCAAGAGAGGGGCATAGCTCATTCTCATTCTCACCGTCAGAAGATGGTGATACACATTCTGACATATTCTTGGGCACACCGCACCGCACCCTAAGCATCTCTGACGGTTAGAAGTTTCTCTTTTCACACATGCAGTGTTTTCTCCCTTTCCAGTACTTACCTGATGATGACAGTAAGTAGGAGTTTAGGTCCGTTGTTCTCTTGGTGAAATCCAATCATCCACTATCTGTAATGTCGTGCCTAAACAGCCAAACTATAACTGATTTTTACTAGTTTTCTCTTTTTTAGTTGCAAACACAGGAAACTAACTTAACTTAGTAACTTTAAAAAAAGGAAATATAAAATGGCTTATTTTCCTTTAAACCTAGGACACCTGTCCCTTTCTCTATTTTACTTTCCTGCCCCTTGTGCAAGAAGATGTAGACACCGTTTTGGTTATCCAACATGCAGGTGGCTTCTTCTGTGGAAAGTGGTATGGAAGATGCATTTTTATTAAATTCATGAACATTTCCCCCCTTGAAATCACACACACAAAAAAAAATACTAAAAGCTTTGGTCTTTATTTCTGATTGTTACTTAATTTATCCACAGTCTCTAACCACGCTAATACATATCTCTATTTCCAGCCTTTGTTATAAACAAAAATTAATACTCTACAAGCGAAAAGTTATATATACTAGAGAGAGGGGAAAACCTACAGCTAATTCCTTTGTAATAATTTAAGATACTTGCATTAATCTTTCCTTACAATATGCCTTTTTAAATTTTTCCAAGCTACTCATCCACTTAGGGACAAGAGAAAACCGAATTTATTCATCTAACTCTGATAGGCATTTAACTCATTGACCCAAACAGCAGTCTTATTAAACAACCCACATAATGGATTCGGTCAACTTGACACTGAATGTAGCTTCTAGTTCACTGCTCAACCCCAGAAGTAGAATGGTTTACCAAGAATGAGACAGGTCTCACTATGTTATCTTGTGTTCTACACTAGTATAGTGTAGAGTTCTAGCTGACCCCAGACATCCATCGGTGGTGTTCCCAAACATAGACTCATGGGCTCTTTAAGGACCTGAATCTCCTCTGTTATTTTGCTAGCAAGTCACCATCCCATATCTTAGACCTGGCCAGTATGTAGTACTGTTCATAGCAGTCCATTCTACTATTAGGGCAGCTCTTTTCTACAAAAGTTCTTCCTCGTGCTGCATATAAATTTGTCTCCAGGGCTTTGCAAAACAAGTCTAACGTCTGAATCTCCCATTTATTGACATTGTGTCAAATCCAATCACCTTTCTGCTTCTCCTTTGAACACTTGGACAAATAGCTCCTAATTTTATTTCACTCTACTCGATGAAACTTAGTAATCACCTTGGGTCAGGCTAGGTGGAAACACTTTCTTTGGGGGTTGAAAGTAAATAGAATTGAAGTCACCCAAAGGAAACTGATAGTCAACATGGAAATTTCCACCAAGGACTCAGACCCAGGAGAGTGGAAGGCAGATGAGGCTAGATCTTCCATGTGTACAAAACAGACCTTTTACATTGTGTTCAGTACTATTTTTGATTTTTGATATTTCGAAGTCATTCTGAAAACGAGAGGCAAGCTAACCTGTATGCCATCTGTGAGAGTCCCACTTCTTGGTTAATGTTCAGAAAGTCTCTGTAACCCTCTCCCTTTGTCTCTGTCTTCTCAGTAATAGCACAGTTTTTGTCCATGTTCCCATGCTGAATATGCAAAAAGAGTTCTGGATACTTTATAGGGGTTCGAGATAAATAAGTACTTGCTGATTGGTTTTGACATTCACTTCCATTTTCCTGTGCTCAAATATTTGTACCTAGAGACGTTGCCCTTTAGACCAAGTGAGCAGCTTCCCTACGTGTTCAGTTAGGAACTGTCCTTAGGAGTTCTGTATTTCTCTTTACTTTTGTCTTTCTAACCTCTTTATCCCTTGCTCATCTTAATTTAATAATTACTGTGAGAACATAAGTAACTTTGATTCAGTCCAGCTGCAATAAGATCAAACAGGTTCAGTGGGTACTCAGGAATATGGCAATAAGAAGGGTACTACTTCCCAGTGGCATCAGTAGGGCTCCATGGAGGAGTGAAATTTGGTAAGAAATGTTGAACTGATTCATTGACTTGATGTGGAAGTTGAAGGAAGAATATTTAAGACACTAGAAACAATAGAAAAGCACAAACTATCTTCAGAAAAGATCCTCTACTTTAAATATTACAGATTCTGGAATTTCCTTAACAGGAGAAAAAAATTCCAAATATTCAGGGTCAATGGGAAGGTAAAAGGCACAGAGGGCTAATTCAACTGCTATTTTCTATCTTGTCTCTTTATAATTGGAAGATAGAAGGAGCTGCCAAAATATAATCCAGCACATACAGTATGAACA